TTTACCTTAAAGAAAAAAAAAGATGTTTATGACTTTTCACATGCAGCAGTGCGGTTTGCTTCCACTCATTAAGGGGATTGTTGACTGCATGAGGCATTGTTCTATAGGCTGATTTCATTAGCAGCCTGTGTGTACAGAGGTGGAAAGACAATCGGAGAAGAGGAGAAAAGAGTCATGAGTCAAGATTATAATGTGCACAATTCATGCTCATCTGCACAATTGGAAATCTGCTGGGTGGTTTATCTCCATCTGCACGAAAACAAGCGTTTTAAAAAGTGCTGGAAAGTTCAGATCTTTTCACACCTGTGAAGACAAACGTTATTTCAAAAGATTGAGAGCATTTGCTGCATTTCTCTTTGCAGCAGAACAAAGATATAGACATGATGACTTGGCTTTGTAATCACCGCACCAACTGTATTTGCAAATAGAAAAGTGGGAGAGTCTGAGTTTTATTGCGTCTCTCCACTCGCTCACCGACCGGCAGCCCTGTGCACTATATAAAGGTGCAAAGGAGGTAGATAAACTGTTGGTGCATCAAGTCGACAGCGGCGAACATGACCTGCCCCCTGAACTCTGTTAACCAAGACAGACATAGAGGTTCATCGCTGCACCGCCAAACAACTTTGCCTCATTTTGAAGGTATTTTTCATCGCTCCCTTTACACAGTAATTATATTCCAAATCATTATGTGTTGTAAAGTCTATTGACCCCTAGTAAACTTATATTTACCAAGCTGGAACAGTTAATGAAATAGTCTTTTAATTAGCACTCCTCTAAAGGGTGGAACATCTGAGAGGGGCTCTCTGTTTTGTTTTGGCTTTGTGGTTGACTGAAGGGTGCAGATCCGCTGTTCAGAAAAAATATACTAATATCTTAATTAAGACATGCCTCTTAACTGTTTACGGTCAATGTCGACGCCATAGTTTGCACCTCTGTTCCGCGGGGCGGCACCTGCAGCACAGGGATATTCACCGCGCCCATGAATCAATAAAACAATATCATAATTTCTTCTTTTGTTGTTTTGTTTTTTGTTTTAAGGCCGGGTCGTTTTTCAAGCTTGACTGATTGAAAGTGGTCTCCCTACTCAAGGTAACAACTGGAGAGGGGGTGAGAGGGTTCTTTGCTGCTTGTATAATGCAGTCTTTGGCAGGCTCTCTCTTTGTATTAGATACATTAGGACGGAAATGTGCAGTAACTTAAAAATGCTCATGTGAAAAAACATGGAATGTATTAAATTAATGGTCTCTTTTGCCTCAGGGCAGTAATGAAAAGGGACCCCCAATGAGTTCATTTTTCACGGCTTTGGTTATGCATTCAACACTCTAATTGAATTTCAATGTAAGTTTTAGAAAGTCTTTATTACAGTGACTCTTGATGTAAATTACATGTGATCTATCGTGGGACTTTGGCCCATTAAGTAATTTAATTGTGACATGCACTTTCCACACACCTCACGCTTTCATGCCTATTCCCCCTCATCCAGATTGTCAGTTTCCTCTGTTATTGGTGCTGTTTAAATGTGGATTGAGGAAAGTATTCTGCGTGTACTTTCATGAGAACAGATCCTTAAAAAGGAGCTATTGCTCGTCTCCCCCATGCTAAGTGAGGGGACAGCCCCCGACAGCTAAAGTACACAGGAGTATTCGCGGGTCACAAGGATTTTGCATGATGTTCGCAGATGAATGCACAGTGCACATTTTATTTGGAAAAGCAGATTATTAGATTTAGCCTGTGAAGAGGAAAAATAAAGCGTTGAGAGCGAATAAAATGTATTACATTTTGCAAATGCTGCACAAGAGAAGCCATTTTCAAATTTAACCTGAATAACTTTAATGGGCAAAAAACAACAACATGTAAAACAAGCAGATGTACAAAAAATATAACACAAACAATATCTTTACTGATATTTATGAGTTTGATTTCTGTTTCAGACACCGTGAACTGTCTCCTCAGACCTGACGCCTGAAATGCAACCTGCAGGGCGTCACTTTTCTCTGTCTCCATCTAGTGTCACCGCCTGCACAGACCTTCAGACGTACAGAACATAAATAGAAAACCTTCACCCCCCTTTTCCTTTAACATTAAAGAACAAAAAGTTTTGGAAAAGGAACATGCACCAACGCTAAGAAGACGGAAATGTTAATCACAAACAGTATGTTTTTCATCAATAGCACAGCTGTGTGTGGCCACACGTGTGAAAGTGCATGAGCCGTCTGCAACACAGAGACTGAATTGACCTGATCATTAGAGGGGGGAAGAGGCTTGACCTGATATTTCCTCTGTTGTTTGGTCAGGAAAAGGACGTTATTGTAAAAGCCCTGTAAAGATAAATAACCTCACCGTTTCCATGGCAAAGGCAGAAACAGTGGCCACCGAAGACAAAAGAGCAGAAGACAATAAATCCAACGCTGTCAATTTTGTTTAGTTTTCAGAGTGTTTTTCAGGGAAATATGGTTTCAAAATAAGCTCCTACGTCTATTTTTCCATGGAGAAAGGGAAATCGGATCAGTTTTTTCTCTGCTTTTTCTGAACAGGCCACAGTTTCATCTTGTATATTATTTTCCAGGCCACGCCATCCTGATTGGTAATAGGAATATCTGACACCACATTTTGCCTTTGGATCAGGAAACCTCTTGTACAGCTGTATACATGTTTTTATAGCCTTTGAAAGAAAGGGTATTGTTTTTAAATTCCTAAGAATGCTTTGTCCAGCCTTCAAATTTAAGTGGAAAACCATCCCGGGAACTATTTTTTTCACAGGCTAAATAAACAATCATGAGTGGACATGCATCTTTGAGTTCAGCTGAAGTTCATCTCAATAGAATCCAAGGTCGGACATCAAGTTTTCTGATCATACAATATTAACACAAGAAAGGAACTCAGGACTTTTTTCAGATTAAAAGCTTCAGGTTTAACTCTTTCATTCAAAGCATTTTTTTTCTGTCATTGCCCGCTTCGCCTCCATGGCCGCCGCCCGCTCTGTCCCCCCCAACATCGCCAGGGGAAGCGAGCCTCATCAGAAGCGAGGCGTGATGAGCAGCGGCCTTATCACTCCAATACAAGAGCAAACACAGGAGTCTTTACAGCACGTCGTCTCAGGAAGCAGCGCACGGCGAGATTACTGCCCTTTAAGAAGCCCTAAGACACGACCAATCCCAAGTAGTGTTTTATCTTGACAGTTTGCAGTGCTTTGTTTGCCTTTTCTGTGAAGCCCGGGTATAAAAAGAGCAGCCGCTGTAAGCTGTGTCTGATTAGGATCTAATTGTTAACAGTCGCCGTGCCGTTTTTATTATCAGCCATACATGCAGTATAGGTAGAGGCCTTCTCGGTGTTATGGAGGACTCTTCCCTCACTGCTCCCGCGTGTTACTCAAGTGCTAGTTAGCACTGAGGTGGCAGGAGAGGAGCCCCCAGCTCGTCGACATCAACAACAACAACAAAAACAACATCAACAAACAGGAATTGATGGCGAGTGTTTATTATCTGGTTTAATTGCTCCTCATCTGGAGGATCTGACAGTTGCGGTTAATGAGAGAGGGAGAGGAGGCACGTGCAGTTGGCAGCGAGCTTCATAGCATGCGACGTGCATGTGTATGTGTGTGTGTGTGTGTGTGTGTGTGCGTGCAGCGTAAAAAGGGATAAGACCACATTACAGCTTCAACCAACGCGAAGGGAAACATCAAATTGTTTGTCAAATTATCAGAACAGGCCCCTAAATCAGGAGCATCAAGTCCACCCTGAGGCCTCTTTGTACTTTGGCCTGTGTCATTACTGCATTGACCCTGCAACAAATACACCTGCAACCCTGCACATACACACAATCCCACGCGTCCCATCCCCTGTGCAGGCCGTGTACAGTAATCAGATGCCGAGCAAAGACAGGATATCGCCGAAATCGAGCCCCTTCCTCAATTTTTCATCTGGCCTGCAGCAGCAGAGCTGGCACATGTCCAACCAGGGACCTCCCTGTCATTGTGCCTTGTCACGCACACACATCCAGGCGCGGTGCGACAAAGACAGCATCGAGACCAGTGTAAGGCCTTCTGGAAGCTCAGAGAGCGCCTGGGGCAAAGTAGTGAGGCTCTCGGCTCAGAGGGGAGAAGAAACTCGATGAGAATGGTTGGAATTGTACTTTTTCTGCTGATATCGTCACTCAACTGAATGCCAGACACATTAACACACATATAAACACATATCACCACAACCACCATCGCAGGCTCATTGTCCCATTCATAAATTTCTCCTGTTGAGAAACACGGGCATTTCTTAAACAGGGCATACCCGCCCCTTTTACTACTCCGGCTCAGCAGGCCCACATGGGAACAATTAGGGGCATACGCAAGTTTGGCAAAGGTTCCTAGCAACCAGCTGCATCTGTTTTTATTTACCTTTTGCTCTGGTGCTGGATAATGTCATGAGCACATCTGCTACTGTGCAACGTAACCGTGGTTACATGCGTGGTTGACCCATGATTCTGTAATTACCCGCCAAGCGAGATGAAGAGGCCCAGCAAACCACTCAAAGCCACACAAAGCCTTCCTCCCCCTCTTCCTCCTCGCGTCTCTCCGGTGGCATGAAACCGTGCCTGCCCGAGAGCTGCTGGGAGCCGGAGAGCGGAGGATGCTGAAGTGAGGTTTAATGACCCAAAGTTGTCCACAATAGTAATTTGGACCTCGTTTTGGTGTCATTAAATTGCCAGTCAGTTAATGACACTCTCTTTCTATTACGCAGGATCAAATGTGGTTATTTTCAATTGGGCTGGGATGTGATACACTTCTCAAGTTTCCTGACTGTTTGTTTGTGGTTACATGGCACAGGCTGTGAAGTCTGTCACCAACAATGAAAAAGTCTGACAACACACTTACATAGAAATACTTTATTTTTGTAGCTTAATGGAAAGTTCCTGAACTCGAGAACTTATTTCAAATGTCTCCACAGAGTGTTCGTTGTTTCAAAAAATGATGACACCCACACGCACAATTGGTTTTGGAAGGAGAATGGGATTAGTCACAGGTGGCGAATTCAGCTGGAGCGAAGATTTCTCGGGAAGAAAGATGTCTGTGATGTTTCATACTGTTGGATTCAACTCACAGAAGTTCTCACTTTCTAAGGAATGGAGTTTGTTTGAAATTCTGAAAGTTCACTTTATTGAGCATCTCACACAGCAACCTCAAAGCGGCCAATCAAGATGGGACTTGTTTATAATAATGGTGAGTGATTATGAGCACTAACAATGAAGACCATATATGGATCACTTCACAGAAGCAGTGTGTGTGAGTGTGTGTGGGTGTGGGGAGGTGGGGGCCGGGGGGGGTGCCACCATGCTTAGCATCTCCCAGATGTGCAAACCATATGCTCTGACTGAAATTAAAACAAAAAGAAACAGTGAAACATGAAAGGGATTTTTAACTTTGTAAAGACAGTTAACAGTTGCTACAGATAGGGTAATGGCCGAGAAAGGCCACATGAAAGGAGCAGGGATGCTGGCGTGCTTTTTGCACCACTTATTCCATTTCCTGCTCATAAGTTCACCGAGCAGATGGGGACCAAAGGCACAAGGAAGTTTAGATTTTCTGCCCCACAGCCCATTGTATATGATGCATGTAACTGCGTAACACTGCACTGTTATCATTTACAGGCGCTTCAGTGCATACCAAGAGGTCACAATAACAAAGGTGAAAACATAAGGGGGGGAAACAGAAGAGAAACATTTTTAGTCGCTTCAGAATCAGCTCCATACGTTTAATTTTCACACATGATGCTTAATATTTAAAGTGATTATTATGCTACACTTGCAAAAATGAAATTAAAGCAACGTCCCACTTCAACTACTTTTTTATGTATAGGAAATATTTTATAATTGACATACAGCTAAATGGTTAACGCAGAAAAGGGTATTGAATGTAAGTTCTACAAAAACATTTAAACCTGGTAAATTTGGAAAAGAGCAGCTGCAGGCCTGCTGCTAGCAGAGGGACAGAAAACACATTCAACAGTGCCCTCTCTTGGTGAAACACTATACTGCAGCACAGATTCACGAAGCAGCACCATTGCAGCTGAGATTATCAGAAATGTGATAATTTTTCTTTGCACAAGAAAAAAACATCAAGAAGCATCAATTCATCCTAAGAAATGTAAAACTTCTGAAAGTGTAAGATTCATCTTTGGCTAGAAGACACTGTCTCTGTCTGTGTTTGTACTTTTTGCTTACAACACGAAGCGTCTCTGGAAAGGTGGCATCATCAGCTGTAACAACTGCTGGCTCTTCTCTACGTCAACCTGCTGTGCTGCTCGGATAAAGACATGTTTATTTAACGCCTGCCTCATCCGTGTCTGGATAATGTCGGCCCTCGGGCAACGGTTGGCAGAGGTCTGGTTGTATTTCTGCTTGTATAATCAACCTGCCCGGCACTGACTGACCACAGTGTCCCCTTCAAGACAGCAAACAGACACCAGTGAGAATTCAAACAAAAGGAGTCAATCAAAAGGCCCTAAAGCAAGGGGCTAAATAAATCCAGTTATTTGCTTATAGACTGAGAAATGCTGTGTCAGATGAAACAAGTATTTTGAAAGTGTTTCACCAAATCCACTTCAATTTCTTCTGCTGTCGCTGGTCTTGGGTTCCTCCGGTTGAGTTGAAGTGTTTATGTGTGTGGACAGACAGTTCTGTTTCATTTGCATGAATGGGAGTGACGACGTCCTCATCAAACCCTGAAGATGAATTCCCACTTTGACTCTTTGTCATCTCTTCAATGTGGGAATAAAAACTGTCTGTCTGTGTGTGAAGTGAACGGATTGTGGAAGTTTCCATCGTGGTTACTTGGAGTGGAGCTGTCTTGTTTGTGGGCACGGCAGCACGGTGCAGCAACGCTTGCTCTGTGCTTAGACTTGTGTTAATAAAGTTGAGTGTTGGCAGGGCTGTGATGTTTGGAGCAGGAGAGGATGTAATGTATGATGCAGCAGATCCATCTGTGAAGGTATGAGGTCATTTTAGTAAAGGGGAGATTAATCAACATACAATTTATGATACTACATTACATAGTAATGTAATAACAACAATAATAATAATAATATCATCATAATTTCCATCATCATCTGTGCAGTAACTCCACAAACTACTGCAGTCCTGTTTTAATAATAAACAACCTGAACTCTAGCTAATTCTCAAAACAGTTTTTCTTATTGTTACTTCTCTTGAATGTGAATGAATGATATAGATTATCTGTCCACATTGATATGTAGTATTGTCAAAGTTGGTTTGGTAGATTTTGCAAAATCCTGCTAACTAACAAACAAACATAGACGGACACATAACCTTGTTGGTGGAGGTATAAATATGCTAAAACCAGAGTAAAGTTACTGTAATACCATTTTATCAGGATAGTTTTCTGTGTAATAATAATAATTACACACTGGACAAAAAGCTAAAAAGGATCAAACCCTCATGTCTTCAGACTCAACACGTCTTTTTTTTGTCTCATCTTGTTGTTTATTGAAATCATTTTATTTTGTTACCACATATATCACTTTTATATTTACCTCTATCTTACTTCAAACTGTGTGAAGGGTGCTAAAGTTGAAAGATTAAGTGACTGACTGAGAGACAAACAAAATTAAGTGCCTGGTGTGACAACAGTAAAAAGCCTCGCGATGGCTAGTGGTCAAAATATCATCCAATAATTAATCACCACTTTAGTTTTACTGTGCTCATCAGCAGAACACTCACCTGTGCATGGCAGTGTGTTCTCCATGGTCCAGTGCATTTTGTGATTTGTCTCTTTGAAGGTGAGCACAACATCCACCCTGTAGAAAGACTGCAGGAGCTGTTTGCTGTCTGTGCAGGTCTGTAAAACAAACCCAGTTTAGATGTTAGAACATCTAATGAATCCTTATGGGAACAGACGTGTCAGACATTGACCCAACTCTCAGACACATGAACAGACGCCAGTGAGGGTTAACTCAAACGTAAGAGTTCCAACTGTTGTTTCTTCACCAACCTTGGTTTGGAGTATTTGGGATGTCGGGAGGATCAGTGACACAAATTCACTCGTCTCGTGCACAGTGAAATTCTCCGTCTGGTTCACTGACACGTCACTGACAGTCAGTCCCTCAGTGTAGGAGCTGCCTCGCTTGGTCAGGCCCAGGCGTCGTTTGAAAATGTGCAGCACAGTCTCTTCTGCTGTGGAGGTGGTCACTAGAATCAACATCAGGGATAAACTGTGTTACTGGGATCAGTGGTGGAAGGTAACTGAGTACATTTACTCAATTACCATACTTGAGTACAATTTTGTGGTATGCTGCTTTGGACTTCTGTTTCATAACATTTTAGAAAAACATATTGTAGCTTTTACTGTACTGTGTTTATTTTATAGATGTGGTTACGAGCTACTTTCTAGATTAAGAGTTTACATTATTAATCAACTGATGACTCACTAATAAAATACTATTTTAATTAAACAAGTGGCTTGAGATTGGAATGACAGTGCAAAAATACTTCATGGATTACTTGGATACCTTGAGAATAACTTTTAATTGTGAGAGTTTTAATGTGGTAACTGAGTATTCTATGCTGCTTTATTGGCAGTGTTGTTGGAAACATGTAAACATTATATTTCAGTAAAAGCACAAATAAATAGAAAAAAATGTATTCCAGAAAAGTACAGCACCCAGAATGCCTTGTAAAAATATGGAGGAGTAAAGGTTAAAGTACCTGAAAATAAATATATTTCAATAAAGTACAGATGCATGAAAAATGTAAGTACAGTACCGAAGTAAATGTACTTTATTACATCCCATCACAGCTTATCTATGTTTTACAAAAGTACTTCAACAGGACTATGTTTAACAACACGTTAAAACCACAATGATTCAAAAAACATATAAATAACTTCCAGGTCAGTTTCTACTTGTTACCCACCTGTTGGACACATAGCCTCCATACTGTAGGCATACTGACCACTGACCAGCTTCAAGGCCAAGAATTCCCCTTCGCTTTCCATCACCTGTTTTCATCAGAAAGACAGTCAGATATAATTTTACATGTGCATGGTTACCAAAGTCCACTGGGTGGCAGTATAGTGTGGGAGCCTCATCACCTTCACAGGACTCAGGATCTCTCTCCTCCTGCCTTGGACTATAATGTCAGATCCATCCGTGACGAAGTTCATCTGGATCAGGCTGGCATCCTCCATCGCTACAATGAGGTGATCGCTCAAAGACAGTGACCACTGCAACTGTGACGCAAAAACCAAACATGCAGACACGATGAGAAGAGGGATTTATTCTTTTCTTACCCTAACCCACCATTATAACCCATATCTACAAACATTTATATGTCTGCAATTAAGCACCATACCTCATTATTCCAGTTGTCATGGGGAACTTGTCTAATCACCTGAAGAAACACATGAATCTTAGAACAACGTGAAATACTTGACTGAAAAGATTCAAGACATCGTCCCATGTGTGATGAACCCTAGTGAACATTTACCTGAATATTCTCTGGGTCACACTGGATTTTCTCTCTGTTGGGCAGCACAGAAACCACAGGGCACGTCATGATGAAACTGTGACGTCTGCCTCCAAATCGATTTATCCTCTTCACCAAATTCAGTGTAAGTGCATGGAAGCCTTGCTGGACAGTCACAATACAATCAGATGTTTGTTGCCACTTAGGTCAAAGGTCACACTTTGCTGTCTGTATATATGGAGTCTGGATTAGATGAAGTGACATACCTGCTGATGGACAAAACACCCTGTGTAGCTGACTCTGAATATAAAGTTCTTGTCAGGGTCTTTGTGCAGTGAATATCCACAGGTAGACAGCTGGAGGTTAAGTTGATCCAGAGATGCAAGGTTGACTTACAGAAAGAAAAGAGTGATTCTGAGGCAAGTCATCACATTTTTATCAAAATTTTGCAACTTGCTGCATCAGAAAATGTTTACCTTGGATCCGTAAAGCTCCAGAGAGCCACACTGCCAACCCATCGATTCTTGCACTATGAATCCACATCTCCATGTATTCAGAAAAACATGCAACATCCCCCTCTGGAAAAAAAGGCAGATTTTCTCAGATAACATGTGAAAGCAGCATTTTAAACATTTGGAGTTTTCACAGGATAAAGGTTTACCTGTTAATTTTGCTGTTGGGGATCCTACCCATTCTCTTTTCTGAATGCACATCACACCCCTCAAGATGAAACACTGCAAAAGACTAAAGTAAAGAGTAGAATTGAGCTTATATTTTTGAAACTGATGAATAAAGCCCAATAAGATTAGATTAATATCTCACTCACATGGTTCCAAGAGACATGCAGAGTCGCATCCGATCCATGGCAACGCTGCAGAAGAAAACATGAGAGGACTGTCTGACCCTGGACTATTTGTAGGTAAGGTGCGGGGGGGTGGGGTGGGTGATGTCACTGGGGAGGAAGGAAGAAAATGCAGGTGTGTTTACTCTGGCATGTTAAAGGGAAGTGACATAAAAGTCACACATAATGACGACTGTATTCAGCATGTGTGGAAAACAGGTGTTAAAGGGTCAATGTGTAAGATTTAGGTGAAAAGGATCTGTTGGCAGAAACTGAATATAAAATAATCTCAGTGATGTTTTCACTAATTTGTTTCATCTGAATTGTGCAAATTATTTTTGGTTTTTTTAACTCTAGAATGGGCCCTTTATATTTAAATACTTTATATTTACATCAGGAGAGGGTCCTCTCTATGATGCCCAGAGTAGACAAACTAAACACCTTTTGAGTTTTTATCACAATTAATGAATTTTATGACGAGATGTCGCAAAATTCGACACACTGAACCTTTAAAGCTGTTGTAAACTTTTTAACTTCGTGTCCTTGAAGAATCTCTGATGATTTTAAGATTTTTCTGCTTGTTTTTAAAGCCCTAAACTGCCAGGCGCCAGGCTATACATGTGACTTGCTCACCCCCTATCGGTGTGAACCTATGGTGTGAACGCTGCCTGAGATCCTCCAGCAGGGCCCTATGAACAGTGACCGGGCCTTTGCTATCCGGGACCCGCAAGTGTGGAATTCCCTGCCAGGAGATGTCAGGCAGGCAACATCAGTATCCTCTTTTAAATCTCCTCTTAAGACTTACTTTTATTGTACGGCTTTTAGCGTTTATCTTTCTTTTTTAAAATCTTATTTATTATGCTAAAATTGAACTTTTGATTCCAGAAATTCTGTTTTATTGTAAAGCACTGGTAACTTTGTTTTTGAAGTGCAATATAAATAAAGTGACTATTATTATTATTATTATTATCATTATCATCTTGTACAATGAATTAACCCTCATCATATACCGTTCTCTTTATTTTATCTTAAGTAACGTTAGGCCACAGCATCACATAAGCTCTGTGTCCAAGATTTCAAGATTTGTAATTGTTATATACTCAAGAACAGTGCAAACATCATTACCAGTAGCCATGTTTTTGTCTCAGAGCCAATTCAACTTCACAATGAGTAAGTATATACAATAATAGTATGAATAGTATGTATCCTTTTAGTGTAAAATAAGTCCATGATATCATCATACTGCTTTGTAAGGTTGAGTTGGCTCTGAGACAAAAAAAGTATTACTTACCAAAGATGTTGTCACTGTTATCGAATATGTAATAAAAAAAATTGAAATCATTTGTGCCTGCTCTCCATTGATATATTTACACTTAGAAAGATATTCAAACACTAGTGTTATATTGATGGCTGCCCCCATTACATCAAATACATTTAATAAGGAAAACAATTGGAAATATGTGTACATGTGTAAAAAAGTACCACAATTTGCCCTTTGGCACAGGGGTGATACATTTTTACTTTGTTTTTAAAAGAGGGAGAGAATAAATCAAGGCACTCTTGCTTTGAATAAATTAAAACATGGCCTTCATCAGAATCAGAACTCTGAATCTAAATCTTTCCATATTTTAATTTAAGACAATGAAATATGGAAAGATTTAGATTTAGAGAATTTTATAGCTTGGTCAAATAGGTGAATATGATGATTTAAGTTAAGAAAGGAAAGCAAAGATAAGTTATGTTCCACTATGGGTAAATTTACCGTGTTACACCTGCAATAAGGGAATACAAATAACAGAATGTAAACAGTAAAACATTATTGAACATAGAGATATTGAAATTGCAGATCGAACATGTTTATTGCAAAGTTAAATCAGTTGAGAACCTGTGAGAAATACATATATTGTGGGAAAACACAGACACATAGATTAAACCCATATAATAAAGAGGAAAACATGTCACGTTGCAGGGTTCATGGTGTAAAATGTGATTTTAAACGATTTGTAAGTGCGCACCTTTTGTTTGGGTTTTCAAGATGAATCTTCCCTGCTACTATTCAAAGGGTAACACCGCATCTTTAAACTTTGCCTCTTGTAAATCATGGAACACGACAAGAAGAATGTTGGTCACCAAAGAGCGTTTATGCACAGTGTTTCAAATATCTACACAGCATCATGCGATATTCAATCAAACTTTGATATAAACGGTTTTCATTTTGATTCTGACACCCCTATAGAAGTCCACAGTGTGCCCTCCCAACTCGATGATGTCATCCCTACAAGGTGAGCAGCATGTCGAGCGGCCATTTTGTTAGCTAGCTTTGAGGTTACAGAGGTTAGCTGCTGTTCGGATGGTTCAGCGCTTACATTTCGAATAAAAAGGAAACGTGTGGATGTTTTTGTGTGAGTTCAGTATCCGACCACACGCTCGTAGACAGGAGGGGAACTCATGTGTTTCCAGGCACGACGGTAAACCGGAAGCTCGTTCATTTTTGAAGCTAACGTGAGTTTGCTAGCTTGTTAGCTTGGTCGGCTAACTTGTTTGTGCGTATCGGGTGTGAGTGAAAGAAAACAACCTAGTCTGATGACCGCGGACTGTTAAGTGTTCGAGAGCTGTGGGTGTGTGTCGCACACAGTTTGTCTGTCTGTGTGTGTCTGTGTGTGTGTTGTGGCTGCTCCTGTATCTCAGCTCACACGGTTAGCAGCTTCACTTGAGCGAGCATCGACGTTTTGGAAACGCGTGCATCATCGTGGTGTTAGCCGCGCTCCATCAGCTGATTCCTGCCGGACTCAGAGATCATGTCGGAGCTGTACATTCGTGTGGCGGAGGAGGAGAACGAGGAGCCCATGGAGATCCCCTCGGAGGACGACGGGACCGTGTTGCTGTCATCGGTGGCGGCTCAGTTTCCAGGGGCGTGCGGGCTGCGCTACAGGAACCCGGAGTCCCAGTGCATGAGAGGGGTCCGGCTCGTGGAGGGAGTCCTGCATGCACCTGAGAACGACTGGGGAAGTCTGGTGTACGTCGTCAATTATCCCAAAGGTGAGTCAGATGCTGGTGTAAATGATTGTACATTTATTTTAGCTACAGTGTATAATGAACAGCCACAAACATTCCAGTGTATTGGGTACAGCTAGACACGTCCAATAGAACGATCGTCCCTACATCCTTATTCTATGTTGATTAAAATGGCTAGATGCATTGTTTTTGCTTATCATTTTGGAAGCTGACACATGGTTTATAATATTTATCTTGTACTCGCCAGTATAACTGGTCTAAACAGTGGAAACACCAGAATCATGCAATGTAATTCTACAGCACCACAAACTGCAGCCTCCAAACTAAAAATACATTTCATTGGTTAGTGCTTTTTTTAAAGCTCTCAAAGACACTTGCATAGAATTTTAAGGAAGAGACACTAAGGATAATACTTTCATACATTGAAGAGATTTTCAAAGTGGACAGATCGGTGCAGTGTCTGGTGCACGGGTCCGATTCTTGGTCATGTGTGGAATGAACACTTGAGTTAAAAAATAACCTGTCTCTTCTCTACTACATTTGTTCTAGCTTGTTGTACTGGTCTTTTTGAGTCCGGTGAAACAAAATGTCACTACTATAGTGTTTTGATTACGTAAATGTCCTCCTGTTTGTGGAAGCCTCATTCTTTTTTCCAACTTGATAGCACCCAACTGAACAAAGCCAGGTCCATAAATAAATAATTTCCTGAGTTTGGTGTGCAATGACCTGCCGCTCATGCACAGAGCCCTGACCTCAACTCCACCCAACACCTTTGGAATGAGCCAGAGAACCGACTGCAGGCCTCATCACCAAACATCAATGTATTTCTAGATGAATTGGAGCATATTCCTGCATCCAGCTTCTGCATGTCCAGTGGAAAGCCGTCTCAGGAGAGTGGAGCTTGTTATGGAAGCATATTATTGACTGTGGTCTTTTGAATGAAATACTCCCTCACTAAACCACCAAATGGATAGGAGCTTATAGACTGTAGGTTTGACTTCTGACCTCTTTTCAGGGACATCTGTATTTTACACCAAAGTAATTTTTGTCTGTCTCTTCTCTTTAGATAACAAAAGGAAGATGGATGAAATAGATGCTGCCTCAGCTGTGAAAGTCAAGAGGGGCTTTCAGAAGACATCAGATCTCATTGTCCTCGGGCTACCGTGGAAAACAACAGAACAAGACTTGAAAGATTATTTCACTACTTTCGGGGAGGTCATCATGGTGCAGGTAGTGAAGTCTCACTAGGCTGATTTTGCATTTCAGTGTATTAAAGGTTCAATGAGTAGGATTTAGTGACATCTACTAGTGAAGTTGCTTGTTGCAGCTGTATACCCCTCATCTCCCCTCCAAGCATGAAGGAGAACCACATGGCAGCCTTCATTTGTCATAAAAACTCAAAGGTGTTTAGTTTGTCCGGTTTGGGTTACTCTAAGAAAACATGGCAGCCTCCGTAGAGAGGACCAGCTCCCATTCTGGGGTAAAGAAAACAGCGCATTTTTTCATTACACACGTGAGAACCTCACTAGGATTTTTTATTTAATTACTTCCAATAGATACCTAAATCTTACACACTGGACCTTTTACGAATTTGTCTTTACACTTGTGGTTTAGTGTGAATTGGTAACAAACCATTTCCTCTACGTTCTCTGCAGGTCAAGAGAGATGTAAAAACTGGCAACTCAAAAGGATTTGGATTTGTCCGATTCACTGAATACGAGACACAAACCAAAGTCATCGCTCAGAGACACATGATCGATGGAAGGTGGTGTGATTGCAAACTTCCTAACTCAAGGGTAAGTTGACCAAAGTTTCCGTAGCACAGAAGTTTGGCATGACTATATGTTATTGAACAGTTTCTTTGGGTCACGGGTCAGTTAAGACTGGTCTTTGGAATTATGCAGATACATTTTTCTTAAGCCTTACGTGATAAAGTTTATTCTTTTTGTCTAAATTCTAAAAGTTTATTAACTTTTACGGAGATTCAAATGCATCATATTTAGAAATTGTTCAGTGTTTGTCTTCCTCTTAATTTGACTTAAACATTTAGTCATGCTTCATGATTGTTGGAAATATTTGAAAAATATAATTGAATCCATCAGCAGCTTGATTTAAAATGCATGTAGAATTTTCCTTTTGACTGTCCCTCTCAGGCATGTCCTGATGAGCCGATGCGAAGCCGTAAAATCTTTGTTGGCCGCTGCACAGAGGACATGTCAACTGATGACCTGAGGCAGTACTTCATGCAGTATGGTGAAGTCACTGATGTCTTCATCCCCAAACCTTTCCGGGCTTTTGCATTTGTCACATTTGCTGATGACCAGGTGAGATCCTAATAATGATGATCCTCATAATCACAAGATGATGTAGTTATAATATCTACTATTATAGACACTTAAAAGCTGGGAGGGAGTAGTGAATATGATGCTAACTTTAGGATAAAGTGTTAACAGCGTTAGATAAATGTGATATCAGTGCTATAATGACTGCAGTAGTAATCTACTCTTCACTTATTTTCCAGGTTGCCCAAGCCCTATGTGGCGAGGACTTGATCATCAAGGGCATCAGCGTGCACATCTCTAATGCTGAGCCCAAACACAACAACAGTAGGCAAATGATGGATCGAGGGCGGTTTGGGGCTGGTGGGTTCAGTCAGGGCTATGGCAGTAATCGTGGTGGGCTAGGCAGCGGTAGCAGTGGGGTTAACTTTGGGGCTCTCGGTCTTAACCCTGCAATGGTGGCTGCTGCTCAGGCAGCTCTGCAGAGCAGTTGGGGAATGATGGGCATGCTGGCTAACCAGCAGGGTCTGACCACAACGGCAGGCACAGCCACTACAACCCGAGACCAGACCTATAGCTCTGCCAGCACCAGTTACAGCAGCCCCAGCTCGGCTAGCCTCGGCTGGGCTGCAGGAACTAACACCGCCTCCAACAGCGGCTTCAGCTCTGGCTTTGGCACGTCTATGGAGTCTAAGTCTTCTAGTTGGGGAATGTAGATAGCTTCTAGTTGGATTTTTTTTGTTGCTATTAGACTAATCTGGTAAGTATACCTACGGGGGGGCTGATTCTATCTTTTTTTCTAGTTATTTAAAAATACACTGCCTTTTTACTTTGGTAAAGAGAAGATTTGCATGTGACTTATGTTGTCGTGAACTGAATGGGAGAAAGTTTTAGTTTGTTAGATGAACCTGCCACACCACCTTTGTTGTTTTTGAGAAAATGTTCCGCAGAGATGATTGTGCATGCAAGATAAATATTTAAACATGCACGAGTATCTCAAGTGCTCCTCAGCCCCTTGTAAAATGGGCTTGATATGATTCTATGTGTGTAAGCAGTTGATTGCATCTTTTTGTTTGTTTTTTGTTTGACGTCTTTTGGAAACGCCTTCATGAAAATCTCTTCTGCAGTTCACCAACTCTTTCCCAATTTCCCGGGAGGAAGCGCCTCATTGGCAGCAATGTTCGACAGATCTCAGTATCAGTTCCCCTCCTCCAATGTGTAAATGCTTTGTCATCAAAGAACACAGCTTCACCCTGCATATACTGTATTAGACGGTGGGTGTTCTTTTTCTCCTCTCCCCTTTTTTATGGATATAGAAAACTTGTCTGCTTTTCAAGATCAATGAGTGGGATTGGTGTTGGACCGAGTGAGAGTGAGCGAAAGGGAGAGCCAAATGAAAGAAAGCAAGTGTGAGACGGACTGTTTGTGCAGTTTTTTTTTCTTGTAAACAAATGCCTGTGAGACATGAGAAGATCCTGTAGCTTTGTGCGAGTGTGAGAGGAAGAAGCAAGTACGAGTGTGTTCCTAAAGTTCATCACAAGGACATTGATTGCATCTTGAGATTTGTACGGTCTGCTTTTTTGTCATCGTTTTCTATCAACCATGATTCTCTAAATCACAGTGAAATGTCAAGTGCAATGATTTGTATCCTTTCTCAGCTTTCTCTTCCTGTCTGATTTGAAGTGAATGCTGTGTCTGGTTGGGTGTTTTATTTTCTCCTTGTTAACCACCCTCTTTGTGTGAAAATGTGACTTTGTGCTCGTGAAGTCTGTGTGGGGGGGGACTCTGAAAGTGTGTCCATGTTTGAAAGTGTATTCGGAGGCTGATGTGGTGAATGTTTGACTTGTTCCCACTGAAAGTTTGTGTTTGAAGTGGTTACGAATGCATTTTTCTATGTTTTGTGAATCAAAGGGAAGTCTGAAATAAAACTGAATTTGATTAGGTATTATACCCTCTTCACAGTGACTTATTTTTGACTGACATGAATTAAACTGCCGACACTTTAATTCACATGTATAGGGACCTCGGACACGGACAGCGCAGGTTTTCGTTGGAGTCAGTTGTGGAGAAGCTGAAGACATTGGTGGGTGGGCCCGGTGCAAACCATCAGTGGAATTGCTGCTCGACTGTCCAACTCCTGAGAAGGATCAGCTTCACCTCACTATCAAGAAACCTTGGACCATCCCTAAATGAAATTCAGTGGACCGTACTCAATTGGCCTGAGGTATTTGTTAATACCTCCAAAAAAAGACGAGGGGTAGGATGAGAAAAGCCATTAATTTCCTCCTACTCCAGCATGTAATGCCTTATCTGAATTATTTACTTGGATTATGATGTCTACTGTTTTTGCTCGGTTTTTTTTAACATGTCTTAAATAAATTGGATCAAACAGGCAAATGTCTCACCTGCAGTTTGACAGCGATCATACTTGTTCTTTTTCCAACATTGTGGAACCCAAAGTCTGCCTTAAATCTAAAATCATGCATTTCTGTCAGTAAACACTCGATTCTTTGTCCTCCATTAGAAGTGGGTGATGGCTCACTGGTGTTAACCTGTAGGTTTGTTTTCAATGTGGTTAAAAAAAATTAGATAAGCCCTAAATAAGTGTTCTTGTTGTTTTTGTTTACCTTGATTGTAAAGTGGTTGAAATGTACGAGCTGACTGATTTCCAAAGGGACTTTAACAACTGACTGAACATGCCAGCAAAAAAACTCACTTTGTATATTGAAAGATTTTAGTATTGCAGTGTAAAATAAAAGTTGAGTTTTTAATCTTCTGTCGTCTCTGTATGTAGATTAATATAAGATTTTGTCTTCCATGTTTTCAGTCTGGTGACTTAATGTTGATTTGGAACCTTGGATTTGGTCCTGCAGTGTGTACTCTGAGGGCTGGCTGGTTATTTGATGTAGTTGTAATGTTCGGCCTTTAGATGGTGCTGTTGTGCCATGTTGGACTTTGTAGACCATCACCTACAAGATCAGAAGTCGTCTTCATGTAGATGTAAACTATTTATTCAAGTTTGAACAAGGCTGTAGGAGTTTTTTCTTTTTTCTTCCCTCAACGACATTTGTTTTTACACCAGTTTAGGAAAACGAATGATCTTAATCAAGAATTAACAGTTTCTGAATCCAACTCAAACTGCATCCAGACTAAAAACTAACATTGGGGTAAAGAACTAAAAGATAAACGCAGTTATTAACAGTTGAGCTGTGTAATGCACAATGGTGAGGTTCTCATCAGCGTTATGTTAATTGAAGCATGAAAATAGAAAACTTGTGCAGCCTGTCTGTCATCAGATATTTGTGTTGGTTCTGAAGTTTCATGAACAGCAGTGGATGGTCAGAGGTAACAATCACTAACACACACAGACTACAAACATTTTCACAACTGCTTTGATTGTATCAGTGGATTCATGTGTTTTGTTCTTCACAGGATGAGAGGGACTTTCAGAAGTACGAAGGCATTTTATGTTTTCTTTCTGTTGCTTTTTTAAGTTTGAATAATCGCTCATCATTTACTCAGATTGTACTGGATTTGGCTGTTTGCCCCTGAAACACTTCACCCACCCCTTCATCGGCATAGTGGTGAGTATATAATGAGTGAAGTTTCATGTTTGGGTGAACTATCCCTTTAAGAGACGACATTAAAGTTGAGTTTCTGCTCATTGTTCAGTCATTTGTCTCAACGGCCTCATGTGCATCAGAAACCCGGGAAGAAAAGAGTGTTTGCTCTTGTTGAAGCTCTTTGAAAGTGTCTTCCTCTTCACTGCCTCATTGCACATCATCGCATTGTCTGCAGAGGTCTCATCCTCCACCTGCTCTGCTCTCACTCAGCTCTACAGCTCTAATGGCCTCATACGCTTTAACACAACCTCCTTTTGGCATCAGGCCCCCATTAAAAATACAAAGCTTTTAATTGTAGAGAATGTTCTGTCCTCCAGATTCATTAAATACCAGAGAAAAGAGACATGACGCACACGTTCAATGTTCTTTTTTAACCAGTGGGATGGATGTAAATAACTGAGTGGCACTCATTCAGCAGATGGCCTCTCTGATACCGGAGCTCTGTTTACGATATATTCGCCTGTTTGAAGTGGATCTATGCAGTTTCCAGGTATTTGACAGTGTTTTTACAGTTTGTTCTGCTGCTTCTCTTCAGGATCAAAGCCCTGACACGAAGAGTCAAACGTCTTTGAAGAAACCCCAGATGGTTGATGTGAACATGATAATCAGCGACAGTGCCGGTGCACCGAGGTGAGGCTGTGCTCACTGTTCACCAGCAGCGCAGGTCACAGCTGCACTGACACTCTGCTGTCAAGTGTAACAGCCCTTTGTTCCTCCGACTGAAAGAGAGAACAACAGAGTTGAACCGTTCTCTCCATTTCTATTGAGTTTTAAAACAACGCCCTCTCTTTTCCACTGCATTAGTGGGACGATGATTTCAAACAACATCCACCATTGACCTTTATATTCCCAGACATTCATTTACTGATCTCTGTCAAGATGACTGTCTGAGCACACTGGTTGTGTTGCCCTTTGTTCTCATTAGTCAAACACAATCTGGAGCAGTAATTCCCAATCTTTTTATCTGGTGGAAACTAGAAATGAGAAATGTTTTTTCTAAGTACTTTTCTTGGAATAACACCTGCACAGCTGAACGGTTTAAACCAAAGGCCCCTGAAGCTGTGTGTTTAAAGTGCGCATTTAGTTTCTCACGCCTTATTTGACTTACAGGAATATCATTCAATACAATTATATAAATAAATGAAATTAAACTCCGTCCTTAGAAACAACACATATTCAAATCAATGAGTCTCTGGCTCTGTGTGAAGAAATTAACTGGTTAGTGTCTCCTCACTATATCCACACTCGTATTGTAGAAGTGATCGTGTTATTGTGTCCACAACCATGTGTTAGGGTTACGGCGCCACCCTCTGGACATCTAATGTAAAGGCATCATGTAATGATTACACTAATATGATACAGCACATTTCTCTGCGGGGACAATATTTGTAGTTATTTATTATTTAAATCGAGGGACACGTGTTAGCTTTGGTTTTTGATTGTCAAATTCATCAAAGCAATGTTAATACATTTTAATTAAATTTGGAGGGTTCGACTGCAGCTTTTTGTTACGTTTGCAATTTATTTTTTAATCTTTCACGGTCTCCTCATGAAGGCTGTAATGCTAACTACACTGTTAACTACACAACAATAGAGGTGTTGATTAGTGTTGTATGGTCATTTTGTACGTGGTAGTTTGTGATGCTGTTGGTTCAATATGTATTGAATTATAAAGAGGTATATCTGCTGTTTAACAAACACTTATTAGTTTGACTTTACCTTTCAACACAATACAATGTGTTGTAACAACACCTCAAACTACAGACACCAAAATGGTCAAGTGGAATTATAACTTCTCCAGTAGTTTCATCAACATTGAAACATTCAGTGCAGGACAGTAGGATCAGGAAACTAAGCTGTAGCAATGTGTTCCTAATAAACTGAACACTGAGTGTATATTTTTAAAAGTCTGGCACATTGACTCTTCCATAGTCACAATTTCTGTTTATTTTGCTGTAGAATGAAATACTGAAAATAGGTTTTTAAGATGATGTAGTTTGAGTTTCAGTATGGACTTTCTATTTTGTATTATTTTTTTATATCATCAGTCTCAAAGTGACGGACAGGTCTTTTGAACTAAGTCCCCTGTTTATACATCAGGCAGCTTATGTCACTTGTTGCCACATCCCAATCCTGTTTACAGAAGCCAGAGAGTAGAGCACTAATTATAAAGGGATTGAAATCTTTATTTAGCCTAATACAGTACAGTGCAACGGTTCACCTTAATCCAGTGTTAACACGGTGAACCTTGGGCCTAACATGACAATATGCTCCATATTCACCGGCCTCAGTCGGCATAAGGTTAATTATAACCACCACGCCCCCTTGTGACTGAGTTGCTACATACAGTGATAGAGTTTACAACACACATGATCTATGATTTCATCTCTTCATAAATAAAACTGCAACACTTCTTTGAAGGAGTAAAAAGTTGGATTAAGGTGATAGTTGGGTGTTGAGGTCTTAAATATTCTGGCATGGTTTTTATAAAATATAAACGTGGAATGTGTAACATGTCATCTTCTCCCACAGGTGACTTCAGTCTTCTGTGTGTTTTTGAATGATGTGACGGGATCCTTAAGCGTTATAGGATGAAGAGGAGACGTTTCCACCGTGACCTGTCCAGTTAGTGTGGATGTAACAGCCGGGTTTTGACAGCAGCTCATACGTGTGAGCTCCAAAGTAATCCCTCTGGGCCTAAAGGGAATCAAAATATGTTAACAATCTCTGATAAACATATCAAGATGACTGAGAAATACGGAAACAAACAAGCCTTCACTTAAAGCCCAAAACAAACACACACGCCAGCTACACGTGGTCTTTTTAATCTGATGGAGCTCCACACTCATGCCATATGGTCAGTGGATCTCAGCTCTCACTGTCGTCTCACCTGGAGGAGGTTTGCTGGCAGCATCTCATGTCTGTAACCATCATAGAAGGACAGAGCGGTGGTGAAGCAGGGCATGGGGATACCATGCTGGACGCCAGTGCTGACCGTTCTGCGCCATGACTCCTAAACAAAATGATTACACCAGTTAACACTTTCATTGTCTATGAAGAAATATTTTAAAATACAATTTCATTATGATTGAAAAACGGATTTTAAAATCTATTTAAACATGGCCTCATTTAAAATCAGTTTTAATTTTTTAACCCTGAAGTTGTGGCTGTTGACGTTATGTTTTGGGTTGTGTGTGAACTGCTCAGTTTAGTCACTGTTATTCTTGCTTCACTCCTTTCTTTATTTAAAAGAGGAAATATTTTTTTCCTGTAAGTCTTTGTCAATGTGGCTATTGCAGGTTGGCTTTTTGGCTACTTCCTCCTTCCTCATACCTGACACTCCTTCACAGCATCTTTGAAGAAGTTGTCCAGCAGCAGATTCTGCAGCTCGGCGTCTCTGTCAAACGCCTCTTTGATTTTACCCAGGAAGACACTGGTGGGAAGAGGAGGGAGAGAGAAGTGTTTAATTCTTATGTTTGCTCTGGTCAAAATGCTCT